CAGTGTGTGCTCACACACTCACAGCCTCGCCGTGTCCCACCGTCTCAGGGAGGAGAAATTGGCGGAGCTGCAGCTGAGAAAAGATTGAATGTGTGTGTGTGAGGAAGTCCGTGGATTGGATCCATTTGGACCAATCCACGGACTTAACCTAACGGCTCCACGGATTAGTCCATTTTGGTATGGGCACGTCACAGTACCCAGGAAGAAAACAATGGAAAAAGAGAAATCTCCAACGAGGCGTTCTGGGGCAGCATAGACAGGTATTCTCTGTGTTAGAGTTTTACTCGCTACAGCGTGTACTTTGAGGGTTTGTGACTTTGCAGACCGTTTACATGCATAAAAACCTTCATAACACACAAGGGGAAGGATAATAACCGGAAAAGCATGACATGGGACCTTTAAAGAAATTCTGTTGACAAAACGATGCTCCTCCTCTGTGTAGATCTCCACTGGCACCTGTGCCCCGCTCAGGATACAGGGAGAGAGAGCGGGAACTTCGAGAGAGAGACCGAAGTGACAGTCGTGACCAAGAGGAGCATTATGGAAGGCCGGGCTATGACAGACCTCCATATGAGCGCAGCGGACCCGACCGTGGCGTGCCTGACCGTGGCGTGCCTGAGCGGTACGGCCATAGCTCCTCACCGTACGGTATGGTCAACCCTGCATCTGGTAACAGTAGTCAATAAAGGTTAAACAAAATGCCATTCAGAAATAACTTAAATTGCAATTATTTCTTACAGGAGAAAGAAGAAGTTATCCTGAGGAAAGGGGGCCTCCCACTGCATCACCCCTCGCACCTCCCCCACAGCCAGCCCCGCGCGTTGAGAAAAAGCCAGAAATCAAGAATATTGACGATATCCTCAAACCACCTGGAAGATCATCTCGGCCTGAGAGGGTACTTATCAATGTCGCAAAGCTTCCCAATGTACCATCACAGACTATTAGTTGTGTGATATCTAGTACTCATTTTTGTGAAATACATTTTCACAGATTGTCATCATAATGAGAGGGCTTCCAGGAAGCGGAAAAAGCCACGTGGCAAAGCTGATACGGGTGAGTAGTCATAACAGAAAATCATGTAATATAATGTTATCATGTAATGTAATGTTGATAAACAATATACAGTAATACCAAATGGAAACATACAAATATTGCTTTTTTTCTCGTTGATAATATTAAGGATAAGGAAGTAGATTGTGGCGGTGCACCCCCAAGAGTTCTCGTTTTGGACGATTATTTTATGACGGAGGTTGAGAAAGTAGAGAAAGACCCAGACACAGGGAGACGAGTGAAACGCAAGGTGAGTCTGACCTGCAGTAAAACATCAGAGAACAGTATCAACCTGCAGATGTATTACAATTATTATTGTTATAATATAAACTCTAATTAAACGAAATCTGTCGTTCAGGTTCTTGAGTACGAATATGAGCTAGAGATGGAGGATACGTACCGGAACAGCATGCTGAAAACATTTAAGAAAACTCTGGATGACGGCTTTTTCCCCTTCATCATTTTAGACACTATTAATGACAAGGTTAAACATTTTGATCAGTTCTGGAGCGCAGCCAAAACGAAAGGCTTTGAGGTGAGTTCTGCTCATGAATGAGTCATTTTATTATTCCTGTTTCAGTCTGCCCTGTGCTAAAGAGGTTTGGTTTTTCTTATTTGAAGGTATATCTTGCTGAGATAACTGCAGACACTCAAACTTGTGCAAAGAGAAACAACCATGGGCGCACGCTAAAGGATATTTTGAAGGTCTGTCACATAAAATTACTTTCTCAGATACATTTTTTACGAGAGTAATGTCCACAGAGCGTCATGTAAATAGAGTGCTGCTCTAAATAGACAATTTTGTTCACAGATGTCAAACAACTGGGAGGCTTCACCTCGGCATATGGTGCGATTGGATGTCCGGTCCCTGCTTCAGGATGCAGCTATAGAGGAGGTGAGGTCTTCACGAATGTGCGGTTCTCATGGTATAATCGTCCTTTTTTTAGTCACTGAGCTAAATTAACATGTGCTTCTGTTGTTAGGTCGAAATGGAAGACTTCAATCCCGATGACGAGCCCAAGGAGCCGAAGAGAGAGAAGAGAGAGGAGGAAGAAGAGGGTGATAAGGTAGGACATGAAATCTTGAAACTTTTAGACACATTGTTTTTAGAATCATTTTCACCTAATTGTATTCCCATCCACCACATAAGGCTAATCCAGTTATTTAATATATCATTTAGAAAATATCAGAGAAAAATATAATTCAGTGAGATAAAGATAAGTAGCTCAAATGAAATGATAGGGGCAACAGTCCAATCACTAAAGGAGCGGTTTCAGGGCTTCCTGTTCATTGATCAATATTTTGATTAGATTTCATTATGAGATTCATCCTTATAATTAGTTTGAAATAGTTTCCATCTTCATATCAAGGGTTCTTCAAAAAAAGTTGGAAAAAATCTTTGTTGTTGCTAAAGTACCAAATTCATTTCTTTAGTCGCTGTCAAAGTGGAGAGGCCACTCTGCTAAACTCAGATTTTCATAATTCACAAAAAATAAAAACTTTTTTTTATCAAAAGACAAAATTGTATTTAAATTCAAAAATCTGTATTGAAAAAAACATCTGCTTCAAACTTTTGAAAATGTTCTTATATGTAATATATAATAAATACAATTCTAAGTTGTTATAATATAACAACTCAAACAACACAAATCAAATAATAGTTTTTTACATATAGGTGATTTTAAAATGCCTTAATATTGCCTTAAATGCTGATTCTTTTAAAAGCAGACAAAAAGTTGCTCCACAACCATTCTGGTGACGTTTGAACAAACTAAATCCTGTTAAGGGTCCAGCCGTGCCCTGAGGGAGAGTCCTGCTCGGGGTCAGGTACGCGCGCGCGTGAAAAATACATCTTTACGAATGCACAGGGAAAAATGGGGTCTGCGTTTGACCTGAAAATAATTGCGGTAATGGGTCGTCCGGTTTGAAAAGTTGTGCCCGTGCAGGACTCTTCCATGAGGCATGATTTGTTAACATGGTACATCACTAGCAAATCTATCCACTGGCATATGAAAATGCGGTAGTAACATACAAATGTCTTCATAGACTATTAACTATCAATATCACAAACTGAAGATCTGCACTGAATGTGCATCTTCATGTTTATGGTATTTTTTATTTTTGTAAACCATTAACCACTTACTTTAAAAATGGCCAGATTCCATAAGTTGACTTGGATTTGACTGTAATGTATGTAAACAACTTTGTAAAGTGTGAGATATAAAAGGGCTTGAGGTTTTTCAGATGACAACATGCAAAAATGTAGTTGTGCATAATAGAAAATGAAGGCTTAATACAAAAAAAAATAGTATCAACAGGGATTTCAACAAGTAGATCGTATGAATAAGCTCTGCTTAAAACCACTAAGACTCCATCGACAGAAACAGTAATTATACTTTTCTGGTCTTCGTAAAACAAACTTGAGTTTGTGAATCTCACGACGTGAGACGTTGAGGTCTTCTAGGTTTGATTGATGAAACCATTATAGTTTATTATATTCAGATAAATAGATTTGAGTAATAATGGTAATAACAATAATGTCCACAAAGCCCTGATGAAGGCATGACGTGCAGTGTTCCTAATTATACCATGGCACTAAGTGGAAGCAACTCAAAATGCAAAGGTCTTGTAGTCTTTTATCAAAGTCAAGAAAAAGTCAAAAATATAAAGTTTATTATATTCAAACACTTTCTTATAATAGCTTGTTTTATATTGCTTAACCAGTTTTGGCTTCTTCTTTTGTTGTAAATCTTTCCTGCTGTCACAGATAAACTACTCCGACTGAAATCAAGAAAATGTACAACAAAGGGACTCTCAGGAAAGACGGATAAAATAGTGATCTAACGTGCCTCTGTATCTGTACTGAAGCTTTTATCAGGTTTTCCCAAACCCTGGGTTTGTGATTCCCAAAAGGATTTCTCCACAATTATTTTACAATACAAAATCTATGTTGATTGTTTTTCCGACAAGCAACATTTATATTGATGCTTTTGGTGAGCATCACATAATCATATTATGCTCACTTCAGCCAAAACAAGAAAGAATAGACAACAATTTAAAGCTTTTCTTAAATCTCCAGAACAGCTTGATCCAGGGACATGAAACGCTTTCTCTAAAGGTCCTTACACACCAAGCTGATTTTCGGTGTAGATAGATGTCAGGCCGCCGATGAGCGTCGTGTCGCCCTTCTCAGATTGGTGTGTCTTGGTGTGTACTGCACCGTCCTGTCTTTTTTTATGTTGAATGGGACAACATTTGTTGTTGACTAGATCGAATTGTTCTAGTTCAGATGTACCATATTATTTGAATGGTAAAGGGACATGAATGTATTTATACTTTTCAGTCATTATATATTCCAGGATAAAAATATATATTGACATGTTGTTGAATGGTATTGATTAACACTAGGGATGTAACGATGTATCGTGAATCGGTTAAAAATCGCTACAGATGCGTTAAGATGAAAATCGGTTGAGCTAAAAAATTATTCGCGATGTACTTTTCTAAACGGCACAGGGCATGAACACATTTTGATTTGATTCGCTGGAACAGCAGTCTGGACATGATTGAACGCTATCTAGAACAACAACTTGCCATGGCAGCTGCTCTCCTCAGTGCAGACGTCCGACGAAACGCCCTGGGAAACCAACACACTGGACAACTCGGACATCCGTGATGCCGTGTAGCGCTGCCGGAACGCCGCTCCGGCACTTCAAACATTGCACTACCCATAAGGAGCTGTACACATGCCGAAATGTGTGGCTGTGTCTTTAGTTGAAAGCCCAGTGGTGATCTGTCATACTGATAATACAAGTACTACTGGGTCTGTGTTTCATTCAAGCTCTGTGTGTGTGTGCGAGACTCGCAGGGGCGGTTCTAGGGGGGGCCACAGAGGCCAGTGCCCCCGTAACACTGACCAGGGACCCCCCTGTGTCTCCCCCTTCAAAAAAAAGGTTAGAATATTACAATTTATTGGAACTAAATCAAATCAGAGACCCGGATGTACAGTGGAGATGAAACTGTTAATTAGCTTGTAAAAGTAAATACTGTTTATGTATTTTTATTAAATTGTCACTTCAGAGTGTAGAGAGCTGTATCCATAGATCTAGTCTCTTGATCGAGCAGAGCATACATTTCAAGCTGCACTTTATTTTTATTTATTTGAAGGGATTTTTACAGAAATATTTTTCAGTCATTTGTCCGCAGCTCATTCTGTTAAAAAAAAGAGATCTTGAGCAAATCGTATCGGGAACTTAAAATNCGGGCCAAAAACATCTTTCAATAAAAGAAGTCACCGGAGGATTTAAAGGGAGAGTGACAGGGAGCATGAGAAGAGGAGGGGAGAACGTTTCGCCAGCTTTGTCGATGCGAGTTGCTTCTAGTGGCTGCAGTGACGGCGCTTCCTAAAAACTTTGTATAATCTATCGATTAGATTTAGATTAGAATTATAAAGTAGAGGATAGACATGTGGAGATTATCCGGCTAGCAACAAAACCTGCTTTATCAAACAGCGTTCGTTTTCCACAGACTTTATTTCCAGCTATTTTCCAAAAACCCCTGTGGAGAAGTCCCTTTGCTTTTTTGCGGAGCGAACCAGCGCGCTTACTTCCTGGGTTTTTATTGACGATCACTGCCACCTCTTCAATATGATGCCATATAAACAAGCGTCTTCTGTCGCGCTCTTTACATCAATGCCGACCTATGCTGACAAGTAAGTGAGAGTAGAAATATAAAAGGTATTGCTATAGGGAAATGTCCAGGCATTTATGATAATGCAGCGTTCAATCTAATGCTAACTACATAGCCATTCATTCTACTCCTTAATGACGGCGAAAGCGCATTATATAAATAATAATACTCATATAATATTCGAAATGTTTTACAATGACCACTAATATATATTTTGAATAAACCCAAATATGATCAAATGAGGAAAGTAGGAAGAACTATGATTCACATGTGTAGTACCAAGCTTAGCTAATGTAGTTAGCATAAATTACTATTGCAACAATGTGTGTAATTTTCTTCATTATTAGTCGATTTTTTGCGAATGCTCCTTGCCAGTGGTACAATTGTGGCGGCCAGTGATAATTACCAATTCACCGGCCCGGAGGGCCAGGTGGCATTTTCCCTTAATGTCTAACCCCTGCTTAACTCTTTTTATCACTCCATAATCAGAATCTGTCAACAGCCCAAAAATCAATTTGCAATGTAATTTAGCAGTATGCAATGTTGTATAATCAGGCTATGAATTTATATAGAACAAACCCTTCTGTAAAAGCCTTCATAATATTGATAGGAATTAACTGGAAGGTTTGGTGTATCTACGTGGCTACTGAAGTGGACATTTCGGGAGCTAGGAGAAAACTCATTTTGAGGAAATGACCTTGAAAGATTGCTTGTGAGGCCGCTACCTAAACTCTCCTGTTATTTGGAATGATAGCTTGCCCCGCATCGACGCACTCCGGTGAAGGCTTTTCATTGTTCGGGGTCGTTTGTTTTTTGTATGAACCTCGCTTCGTGCAAGTGACAATTTGTGTGTCTTCTCTGTGAACGGTTTTTTTTCGCCGTTCTTTTGCCATTTTGGGATTAAAATTTCTAGCGGAAAGCTAACCAGGAGTGTTTTTAGCACACCACGTGACGCCATCTGAACGATCCCGTTGTCAAATGAAACACCAGCCAATGCGGATTTTATTTCTTGGTTTAAGACCCCTTTGTACTTTCACTTCTATTTGTTGTTAGATACACGACTGACCATATTGTTGAACCTGATCATTGTGCAGGGACATACTGGAGCTTTCGTCATACGGTACCTCTGTGTCATGGTGTCGGAATCATTCGCTCAAAAGTGTCGCGGATACTTTGGTTGACGTTAGATGCTAACTTTGTGAATTTATGATGATGTCTACAGACGCAATAGATCAAACTGTCAGCTGGTTTCAATATATTTTCCATCTTAAATGTGTTTTTGTACGTTCTCCTTTTCTAAAGATCTGATTGATAACTTTTATAGCATCTTAATAGCCATTTAGTCAGATCTCCATAATTACCCAACGTTTGCCATGAACAAGGAGTTGTGCCTCTTTTGTCTTGTCCCTTAAATGAACGGCATATGTGTACTTGTGCTGCTGTGTGTGCATGCATGTCGTTGGTATAGTGTTTCTTGTGGAGATGTCATTTAACAGCAATCGTTCTGTTCAAGTCCGTTTCTTGCGAAATGACGAAAGTTAAGCGTGATGAAGGCCAATGAACAGAATCAGAAAGAGGGATTGGTGCGTCATGGTTCACCATCCGCCTCTGGCCATGCAGTTCCTCATCCTTGCCTCCATCTGACACCAGAGAGGCGCACCTGTCACCCCTCAGAGGCGCTCCAGCTTCCCTCACCACCTGAGTGAGGGAAAGGTAAGCATCTGTTTAATTTATACAGAGGTGTGATTGTAACAATTCAAACCTTTCTTGAGTAAAGGACACTCTACCTATTCTACCTCAGGTGTTTGGACTTACAACTGCAAATGCAAAAATAAGTTGTCCCCTTTGCTCTTTCCTAACGAATGCGAAAAGTAATCTTTCAAATTGCAGTAGGTATTGCAACTCAAATAACTCAATATAAGTGCAGACAGCTAAGAGATTATAAGTCATGCGTGAAAATATAACTTTTAGATAAACGCTGAAAAGTTTTTCTGATGTTGTGTGGTTGCATGTCATCCCGGATTTCCTGCCAAACTTTTGGTGGATGGTTGCCATAGTCCGCATTCACACTAAGTGGCGCGTTCACACCGGAGTACTTTTCCCACAATATTTCATCAGAATCTCAGATCATATTTGCGTTCACACCAAAAAGCCCCCCTGAACTAAATTAGTTTTATCAGACCAATTTTTACCCCCTTTTCAGTTCCCTGCCTAGAGAGTAGGGACTTTCGTCGAGACAATTGGTTCGTATTTCTGATTGGCTGGGCGGATTGCAAACCACGCCCCGTAAATCTCTGAAAAGGTTTTGGAGCCGCCATTGTATTTACTCGCCATTAAAATCTCAGCGCCAGCGCACACCAACGAAGAGATATACTTTTGGTGAAAGCAGTTATGGCAACACCAAATAAATCAGCGAGCGGTGGGAGTGATGATGATGGTGTCGCCGCTTCTGGGATTTACTCGCGACGACGCGATTCCAGAGACTTCTACTGAGGCAGTTTCCAACGCGAAATGTACAACTGTATTTCGGTAAAGTTAGCGGCTATGGGAATTGTCTACAGCGCTAAGTAATGCCGGGACAAAAATAATCCCCTACATCTGGGACAGTCCATTTTGTATTAATTATTATATATATAATGCCACTGTTATAAATACTGATACATACTTAGCACTAAGGTGGGTCTAACTGCTGAGCCTACCTATTATTGTTATTTTTATATTTTGCCACTGTATTATATTGTTTTGATACTACTGACACTTATTGATCTGCTGCCTGATAAATTAGAAGAGAACCTACATGGGCGATTAAACAGATCCTGTATCTTGCTTTTTTCTCCAGACACTTTATCTTTACAGTGACCTGTGTAGCATCCTATACATCCACATGTAAGTGATGATTCTGATAACATCATGTTTTAATCGGTATAAACTGGCGAAGCTCATTTTATTGTGTCCCACCGCACAAATGTGGCTTTGAAAAAGATAATTTCATTGTATTTCAAAATGGCGTCCATCAACCACAAGCACTATTTATAGAAAGAGAAATGGTTAAGTTTGTAATTACCAGTGTTGTGAGTTCATATTTTTAATTAATTATATTAAGGGAACATCTTAGGAGTTAGTGCAGTGAGTTTCAGAGCAGTGTAATAATTATTTGACCTAAAACTAAATGTTTTTATGAATGTCCTCTGAGGAGGAGCATGGGGGATTTGCCTAACTTTTTATTTTCCTCCATTTTACACAACACAAATGGAGTCCAATATGGGCCAAAACAACACGTAGGTTTTGTTAGGGTTCCATTGCAGACGGATGCAGTTCTCTCAGGAGGATATGTGCTTAACTGCTGAGCCTATTTACTGTGCATACGACACACCTGGCACAGTTAGTTATTATATTGCCACACTGTTTTGATACTGACATTTCATCTTTGCCCTAAGGTGTGTCTGCACTATTGTAATTATGTCTGTTGACTGTGGTAAATAAAAGAGAACCAAAAGCACAGTACAAAAGATCAGCTTTATTGTCAATTTACATGCTGTTCAGATGCCTCATAAGGGCTGTGCGCGTGTCAACTCCATCATATCTGAGGTCGGAAGGTAAACAGACGCATCATATACAGCGGAAGCGGAAGTTTTTCTTCTTCTTCTCTCGGTTTTTTGACGGATTACAACTTTAAGGTGCATACCGCCACCTACTGTACTCGCCGTGAAGTTGTTTGCGGGCTGCCAGTAAACTCAAAGCAGAAGAAGAAGAAGAAGTTACGTCAGCGGCTTCATTAGCCTAATCCACCCCCTGGAACTCATTGCTGTGTGAACGCGATCTGCTTTAGTTCATCAGAACTAAAAGAGTTCTCATGAACTATTGTGGGAAAAAAACTTGGTGTGAACGCCCCTAAGTACTTTGCCGTACTTAGTTCCTAGCACTTAGTTCCCCCATGGAACTAAAGAGCAGATCGCTTTCACACCGGAATAAGTTCCCTGAGGGAAGATTACGCAAATGAAGCCGCTGACGTCACTTCTTCTTCTTCTGCTTTGGGTTTACTGGCAGACCGCAAACAACTTCACGGCGTATACTGCCACCTGAAGTCCCCTGGCCGGAAGCCCCCGGATTAAATCGCCAGAACGCCGACACCTCCTCATCACTCCACCGCTCCCATGTTTTCTTTTGTGTTGCCATAAGTTATTCTCTCTCCGTTGGTGCGCAGGGCTAATGCTAATAATGCTAATGCCAGCAAATACAATGGCGGCTTCACAAAACTTTTCATAGTTTTACGGGGCGTGGTTTGCAATTCGCCCAGTCAATCAGAAATTTGAACTTTTTTCTCTCCAAAAGAACCGATAAGAGTACCGTTAAAAGACCGGACCGATAAGCGGTATCGATAAAAGTAGTAGTACCGTTATAACCTTAACGATACCCATCCCTACATAAATATGCTCCAATCTTGTCTTGTTTGTGTTTAAAGAGTGATGCTTTGGAAGACCCAGAGGAGGCTGCCCGCCTCCAGGAGTTACAGGCTGCAGCAGCGCAGTGGCAAAAGGTGCAGCAAGAAAGAGTCGGCTTACAATACCAGGCTCTCATGCAACAACACGAAAAGCTTCAGCAGATCCTGGAAAAATATCAACAGCTGATTCAGCAACCTGCAAATCTAGCGGTAAGTGGTTGTTTATTTGAAAACTACTATTCATCTGAATATTTTCCACAGAAAACCAATGGTGAAGGTAATATTATTTAGGAACTGCAACCACCCTGTACTGTAAAAACTCAAGCATCATCGTGGAGCCACATTAGTTTACATCTCATGCCCCAGTTGTTTCTTTATTCTGCATGTACCAATAAGATCATTACCGAAAAACTCAAACCCAAATGTTCTTTGTTGCAGTCAATGTCTGCTGAAATGCAGCTCAGGCACTATGAAATGCAACGGCAGCAGTTCACCCCCTTATTCCAAGAGTGGGATCGCTCCTTTGTCCTGTGGTATGAACAGTTTAAGACCTATCCCCACAAAGATCAACTGCAGGACTATGAACGCCAATGGAAGCAGTGGCAGGAGCAGATGAACGCCACCAATGCGCACCTTCAAGAAAGGGTGGCCACACTCACTGCCATGGTGCCATTCGCTTCAAACCAGTATGGTAGTGGGATGATGGGACAGTTTGGCCATTACCCTGGACAAGACATTCACATGCAGCAGCACACAGCAATACCAGGTTTGCAGCATTCCCCAGCTGGTGTTGGTCCAAACTCTCAAGGTCCACCTCCCACTGGCTTTGGACCACATTCAGAGTCACCTGCTGGACCCCCTGTGAGAGGCTCCGGCCCTGCTGGCTTAGGAGTCAGACCCCCAGGTCCCCCTGCTATTCAGCCAACAAGCAACAGTGTCAGCGGTCCACGGTTAGTATGGCTGTTTTGTAGTACTGTAATTGGCTTTTTTTGGTTTAAAATCCAGCTAAAATGTTTATTAAAATAATTTTATGGTAATTGAATTTAGTCGGACTATTTAAGTATTCCCATATTTACCAAAATTATGTTTTTACTTATTTTGTGAGGGTATCAGTGAATGTCTCTAAGATAAATAATGATTAGTAATAATGTTTTCTTGCTATTTCTATAGTCCTGCTGTTCCCACTGGAAACAACCCTAGATATGACCAGCCACAGCAAGGGTTTGATGGTCCTCCAAGATTTGACCAGCCAAATCGCTTTGATGGTCCTCCAAGGTTCGAACAAACGCAGCACCGCTTTGATGGACCCCCAAGGTTCAACCAACCACAGCAGCGCTTTGATGGCCCCCCAAGGTTCAACCCACAACAGCAGCGGTTTGATGGCCCCCCAAGGTTCAACCAACAACAGCAGCGATTTGATGGCCCCCCTCGATTTGACCAACAAAGGCACCGCTTTGATGGTCCACCAAGATTTGACCAACCAGGGCAACGCTTTGATGGCCCCCCCAGATTTGGGCCGCCGTCTAGGTTTGACCAGCCCCAAAGGCCTCCTGGCCCCGCGCCTTTTGAACGCCCACCTGGGCCCCAGCAGCAACAGCAAGTAGTCCAACCTAAGGCACAACCTGCCACTACAGACTTGAAGACTCCTGGAAAGACAGCCGGGCAGCTACAGTCTGAAAAAGAAAAAGGTAAATCAAAACCTGGTGATAAGGCCAATTCTGATGACTTGACAGATGACAACTTACTTGGAACTGAGGGCTTTTTTGTCCAGAAGGACCCCATTCCTCAGACATTAAATACCAGCACAAAGCCTGAGGAATCAGAGGACAATCATGCTTCTAACAAAAGTGAGAAACCCAAACCTGGTAACAACAAACCTTCTGTAACTGCTCCCTCTTCTGTAACTGCTCCCTCTTCTGTCGCATCAAAAAATCCTGCTGCACAAAGTTTGCTCAAACCTGATGGGCCATTGACAAAAAACAAAACCCCACAGGTTCCAAAGCCCTCAGGAATCCAACAGGAGACTGGCCAGATGCAGTCAAGACCAGATCAACCAAGGCATCCTCCTGGAAGGGGACGAGGCCAGCCACCGGGACCTGTGCAAGGTCGAGGGCGTGGGCAAATGGGGCATGGAGATTTCAGGGGACCTAACTCTATACCACTTGGAGGGGAGATTGAGGAAATGCCGTATGACTACATGCCACCTGAAGAAAACTTGGGGATGCCAGAAGAACAGGAGGAGTATCATTGGCAAGATCCTTCATATGAGGAGTGTGGTGATGAGGAATCAGAGGAGCCCCCTGAAGAAATGTGGATGCAAGATGGATATCACTACGCAGCAGAGGAAGAGTATTATGAAGAGCCATTTTGTGGACCCTCTATGGGGAGAGGAGGCCCCCCGATGATGAGAGGAGGGCCCCATATGGGAAGAGGAGGACCACCTTTTGGGAGAGGTGGTCCTCCTATGGGGAGGGGAGGTCCATCTATGGGTAGAGGGGGGCCGCCAATGGGGAGAGGAGGGCCACCAATGGGGAGAGGAGGTCCAGCTATGGGTAGAGGGGGACCGCCTTTTGGTAGAGGGGGACTGCCTTTTGGTAGAGGGGGACCGCCTTTTGGTAGAGGAGGTCCAAATATGGGTAGAGGAGGACCCCCAATGGGTAGAGGAGGACCCCCGATGGGTAGAGGAGGACCCCCAATGGGTAGAGGTGGACCCCATATGGGAAGAGGAGGGCCACCCATGGGAAGAGGAGGACCACCCATGGGAAGAGGAGGACCAATGGACATGTACTGGGAAGACCCTGAGTCGGCAGAGTACCCGGAGGAAGGCGATCCTTACTGGGACGAAAGGAGACCTCCTATGAGAGGCATGAGACCCCCATTTCCACCTGGCCGGGGCCGTCCTCCACCTGGTCATCCTGGTTTCATGCACCAAGGACGAGGGCGCCCCCCTCATCCAGCGCATGGCCCAATGGATCATGAGGCATTAGGCCAAGGAATAAACATGGATGATACCGAAATGGATCCCACAATGCACCCCGGACATGAGCCTCATAGCCACCCGATGCATCCTGATGCAGGAAGAGAAAGGCATGGCGTGCCACCCCCACCTCACAAAGTGATTGATTCTATAGAGGACCCAATGTACAGTGAAGGCATGGAGAGAGATTTAGACTGGCAACCGCCTCATGGCAGAGAACCTCCTCATGGCAGAGAACCGCATCATGGCAGAGAACCTCCTCATGGCAGAGAACCGCCTCATGGCAGAGAACCTCCTCTGCCTCCACATGAGATCATTGATCCTGAAGGAATGAGGCGGAGACCTATGGGTAGAGGGATGGCCCGAGGCATGTCTCAGCCAGGTCCAACACATGAGGAATATGAAGATAGACATAAAGAGGGTTTCGTGGAGGATTATGGTCATGGAGAACACGGTCGCTGGAGGCCACCACAGGACCATCCTCCTGGTGACTATCGGCATGAGGCCAAGTATGGCTATGAGTCTGAATGGGACAGAGAGCGTGCACCTCCTGAGAGGGATTATCCCCCCCGCATGCCACGCCCAGAGCCCTACAGAGAAGAAAGAGAAAGAGCTCACCCACATTCTTATGATGAGCATGACAGGGGAAGAGGAGAACTCAGAATTCGGGAGTATAGAGATGAGCCAGCATATCGCCAGGATGACCAGCCATACCCGCCATCAGCTCCACCTTCAGAATGGGACAGGCCTTCAAGACTTTCTCCATCACCAGTGAGAGGGTATCCTGCTGAGTATGAGAATCGCAGGCCTCGCTATGAAGATCCCAGAGAAGAGACTCTCTTACCTGCTGCTGCTGCACCCGTCACAAACTTGCCAGAACATGACCCAGAATCACAAGGATCGAGTGGATCAAATGTACTTGCACTCTCCCAACGTCAACATGAGATCATCTTGAAAGCTGCCCAAGAGCTTAAACTTATAAGGTAGGCCTTATTTCTAGAACTTCATCATTAATTAATGAATTATTCTTGTTTTTATTTCCCAAATATTCTAAATATCCACTTCTGAGTTTGCTGCCACCACGCGTAAACAGTGAATGTGAACGGTATATATTTTTATAAAATCATTAAAAAAACATCTTATAAAGTTGGGCCAGCCTGCCTTTGCACACTGCAGTCCTCTGCAATTCAGTGTATTACCTCTTGTACTTTATGTTCAAATGGATTTAAGGGAGAGCTTTTTGGCGAATTTAACTTATTTTGGGTCTACAGGGAATTGCATGAAGGGAAGACACCTGCTACTGCACCCCAGTCTGCATCGGCCGACATCCCAGCCGAGCTTCCTGCTGGTCTTCTTGGTTTGGAGATCCCAGCAGACATCAGGAATGTTCTGAAGGTAATTTAATTAAAATAACACTTGGCTATTTTAGCTTAACAATTTAAGCCCCAATACTAGAAGTGCATTGTTGAAAGAATGTATCATCACTGATTATGCAAGTTCGTTTAAAACACTGTGGTCACACACATCTTTTAAATACCGTAATTTTCGGACTATAAGCCGCGCCTTTTTTCCCATTTTTCGACGCTGCGGCTTATATAACGGTGCGGCTAATCTATGGATTTTTCTACTGTGTCATCGCATGCGGTTATATACGCGTGAGGAGGTTCGTCTGTTTTCTCATGAGCGGTTGCCAGTCCTAAACTTTTTCCATGCCCGTCATTGTGACGATTGGACGTACATTATAGAATCAATTCTGTGTTAGGTGGGGGGCACGCCGTGCCTTTACACTCTTCGCTGCATCAGAGAAGCATCGAGAGGACTGTATGAGGCTCGATGTCCGGGTGCATGTGGGATCCATTTCGGTCAACTGTCATCGCATGTTTAGTCCTTGTGCTAATAGCGTTAAGATGGCTTACTATATCTGCCATGCGCAGGCATAACGCTCGACCTTGGATGAAACCAGGATGAACCTTACGTAGGGACGGTCCCCAGGCTCGAGTGGAAATGAGGTTGATGTCTCCCTTATCAGGATATCTCACATTCGTCACAGTAATGATGCGGCCCTTCCTCCCGTAACTCTGCCGATGTCAGGGTCTTCCCAGTGCATGTCCATTGGTCCTCACATCTTAGCGCATGGGTGGTCTCCGCTTCCCATGGGTGGCCCTCCTCATATACCCCATATGGGGTCCACCTCTACCCATTGG